AGGTGGCTGGGGGAGCTGACTTAGGACTGGGAAGACACCCCCTCATCCTCCTGTCCCCCCCCCGCCCCCGCACAAGGAGGGGACTGAGTACACTGCCATCCTTGTTGGCTGAGCTTCTGGGGTGGGATGGGTGTGGTGAGGGGTGGTGAGTTCCAATCTCCACATTTTCATGTACTTTACCATGTGCCAGGTGCTGTGCTAAGTGTTTTACTTATCCTAATACTCAAGTAGCCCTGAAGTTACTGCACTGTTATGAGCCCCTTTTACAAATGAGGAAAGCTGTGTTCGGGGAGATTAAGTTCCAGGTACGCAGCTGGTCCCTACGGGCACTTAGGTATGAAAGTAGGTAAGCACCCCTTTCCTCAAGATACGTGGCCTCTGTCTCTCAGAAAACTGTCATGATGTTTGATTTTCTTAGAACAAGACCTTTCACTGCCTTGTGCTGCCACACTTGTTATAAATCCACAAACCTACACAGTCTACCGCATGTCAGTCTCCCCCTCAGATGTTGTGCCCTTGAGCTTTGCAAAGCCTGCTTCCTCTCCTCTGCTCCCCAGCTGCAAACACACTGAAGCCTTTGAGCTGTTTCTCCTGGTGTTCGACTCCAATTCTCTCCTCATCAATTTTGTTCATTATCTATGGACTTCCTCTTAAGAGAAACGAAGATTTAGCTCTCCCCATTTTCCCTTCACAACTCTTGTAATACATATATCACTGTTTTAACTTAGTAAAGTATTTACTTTATTATGGCATAAAGTTATATAATATATATAATGTAATATTATATTATATAAATATAATTCACTGAAAATTCAATCATGTACTTTAATTTCATTCTTTCCTGAACTCTGATTTTCTCGCAGTCTCTGATTCCTTTTGTTCCCTTTTTGTCCTGTTGCCAGCATCATACTGATGGCTAACATTTGAGCACTCACTGGGTGCCAAGCTCTGTTCCAGGTGCCTTGCAAGAATTCTCCGGTGACCCTCCTGAAAACTCTATGAAGTGTGTGCATTGTTATTATGTTACAGCCCAGGAAGTACAGACTCAGAGAGGTTAAATAAACTGGCTCGTGATTTTGCCCGAAAACTGGCAGAGGCAGGAGTTAAATCCAGATGGTCTGACCCTAGGCCCCATGCTCTTAATATTTTACTACATGTCCTTAATTATATTATACTGTATACTGTTTTTTTCCCCCCTGAAGTCCTCCCTTTTGGGGACCCTCCATCTTCCTGCTTCAACTTTGGGCCTAGGTTGAAGCTGTTGTTTCCTGGAGCTCTGTTTTTTTGTTTGCTTGTTTAGTCCCTGGTTTTGCTGGTGTTTATCCTCCAAGCAGCTTCCTTGGAAAGGGGGCATACATTTTTTTACATCTTGGAAAGTCTTAAAAGTCTTTATTCTGTCTTCTGACAATGGTGCAATGTCTTCGAAATTCTAATTCTCTCTCATCTAGGATTTTACATACAACCTAACTGTCTTGCCGCATCTGGTTGTTTTTAGGATGAGAAGTCTGACGTCACTCTGATTCCAGTTCTCTGATATATGATTTTTTTTTTCTTTTAAATTTCAGGGAGCTTTTACAATCTTCTCTTTACTTCTCTGTTCTAAAATTGCATAATGTCTGCAGTATTTCTTTGATAAATTCCTTCCCTCTTTCTTTCATTTCTCCTCCTGAACTCCAGTTAATTAGATGTAGGACCAGCTGGATCCACTGTCTCTCTTTCTTATCTTTTCTCTCTATCTTCATCTTTCAGTTCTGTTTTCTGGAATATTATCTTAACCTTGTTTTCTAATCCCTATATTGGATTTTTAAATGTTAACATTCATATTTGTAAAAGACCTCCCTTTTATTCTACGTTTGTTCTTTTTCCATAACACCCTCTTCTTTTTTAATGGATGGAACAGTCTTTCACACTTTTCTGTGGTTACTAATGAGAGGCTTTTTTTAAAACTTTCCTCTGTTTCTGCCACAATTATATTTCAGTTTATTTGTTCTGAGCTCCCCTTTTCATCTTGGGGGCTTTCTTTGAATACCTGGTGATCCTTTTTTTCTGTGCATATTTCAGAATAAGTCACAAAAACCTGGGTGGGTGGTTGAGGCTTGTTGACTGCTTGACTTTGTTGAGGATCAGATGGGGAGCTCCCAAGGGACCCCAAAGCCAGTGCATAGAACGGTTGTATTGTGGACTGCTCCGTCTCTGCAGAAACAGATCTCTGATCTGCAGGGAGGGTGGGGAAGGAGGAGAGCCACAGCTTTGGATGGACTCCTCAGCCTTGCACTTCTGCTCCCCTCTTCCTCCACCTAGGGTCTCAGGGTCCACAGGCCTCTCTGGGGTTTTTCAGGGAAAGCTGGCTGTCACCAGAAAGACAAGGGAAGAGCCTTGGGATTCAGCACACACTGACTGCAGCCTACGGCAGAGGTCAGCCTGTGTTTTTCCGGGAGTGGATCAGCTGCCAGTCCTCAGCCAGGAAGGATGAGGTGTCATTGCACTTGCTACTCTGTGTCCATCCAGCTAGGCTGCCTTTTCTCTGTCTGCGTTCTCTTGGCTTGCTGGGTGGAATGCCTCCCCCATCCTCTGGGCAGGCGGCATTGCCCAAAAGGAATTGCCCATGGCTCTTGCTGTGCCCTCTAAATCAGGGAGTTGGAGAGAAGCCATGCACCAGCCCTCAGAGAGCCCATGTGCTCATAAACTCATGTCTTCTGGAGGCTGAGAAATGAAAGGGGTTCAAAGCTGGTTTTCCTGGCTGCTCCTTTTCATCAAAGAGACCTAAGGACGTGTCCTGTCGGCATATTCTGAGCTTTCTCCCAGAGGGTCCCAGAGCTTACTTCTGGGAATTGTCAGAGCTTCCTGCCTTCTGCTCATTTGATTGTTCTGGAAAATCTGGGCTGTAGCCTCCTCCTTCCACAATTCTCCCGGTGGTCAGCCCAGCCTCCGGCTCCTGCTGGAGCCTCCTTTATTCATTCCTTCCATACAGTTGCTTTGAATACCTATGTGCCAGGCACGTTGGTGCGCTGGGGAAAAAGGCAAGCCAAAAGGGCACTGTTCTGGCCTCAGGGGCTTCAAGGTGGTTCTGTAACAGTGTATGACGCAGCAGACATGTTTGCAGTAAACCAGCTGCCTTGCAATTACTTGTCGCTTAAGGGAGACCTGGGGCAAGTACTTTTGTAATTTAAATAATTTGCTTTTGATATAAATAGGTGGTCTGGGACATTTATTTGTGTCCTTTGTGTTCATCTAGACTTTCTTTCCAGGCTTTATTAACCCGGGACCTGCCTGGATGCAAGCTACTCTGAAACTCTCTAGAGCAGCGGTCATAGTGAAGCCAAGGATTGGTGGGAACTGTCTCCCAGAGACAGCATCTGTCCCTTTAGACTGTGGGGACTTCCTTTCACAAAGATTATCGGCACCTATTGTAGGACAGATGTTGTGCTGGGTGTTAGACTTCCAGAGATTTCTCTAGGCGGACACTTCCCAAAGTTTGACCCAGGGAACAGTAGTTCCACAGGGAAGTATTAAGCAGGAATTACGGAGGAAGAAGTAAGTCCCTACCCAGGTGCTGGTTTCTTTCTGTGGCAGGTGAGGTCCTGCTGAGGGTGAATCCTCAGGAGGGACTGGAGCCTGGTGTGTCCCAAATTTCTTTTTCAAGGAGAGTTTATCTGTGTGTTTTAAATCACAGTGAATGTAACAGACCAGTGCCCTTTTGAGCATGCTCTGGGCCGTTCCATCAATGACACCCAGTCCGTGCTCCCAGAAATGGGTCTGGATTTCTACATGGGCTGCTAAGGGCAGCTGTCCTGACAGAGGGCGAGTGGCAAGGGGTTTGTGGTCAAGCTGCACACTGTGTTTACTACTCAGCTACAGCTTAAAACAGCAAAACGATCCCAAGGTGTTTTTAGATGTCAGAGTTCCAGGTCAAATTTATTCTCATAACTGCTTTTATTCAGAAGGAGGGAGTTTAGGGGGATGCTAACACTCACCTCCCTGGTGCCAGCCTTCACCAGAGCTGCGCTATCCTCAGGAGGTCCTGTGCCGGGGCCACGTTGGACAGAGTCCCTCTCTGGCCTTGTTTTCTCTCTCTGAGGGCCTGGATGCAAGTGGTGTCAGTGGGCTGTTCTGCGGCAGCCTTGGGCTCCGTGGTGCCCCTCACACCCCACCTTAGTGCCAGCCTGAGCATGCCCTTTTGTCTGGTATATTTATTGTGGCTTCCGTAAAAGTTTCATTTGAACCAAGTGTTTCTGAGGCTAAAATATTTGGAAACCACAGGAAACACAGGCCCCCTTGCTCTCTAGGGCCTTACTGTGCCTGTTTCAGTTTAGAGACTGGGTGCCTGATGCCCGTGTAGACATCCTTGGGGGAGAAGGGTGTCACTGGCAAATGGTCCCCAGAGGGCTCTGCAAGGAACATGACCTGAGGGATGATACTTGGCCACTGTTCCTCACTTCTATTTTTAGGTACAAGTGACTAGTGACTGGGGGCCCCACGTGGGGAAAGACCTGCTGATTCACACCAGAGCAGACTAAACACCTTTGGGGCATCAGCAAAGTAGGGGAACCAAAATTTTGTTTTTAATTTGCAGAAGCATCAAATTTTTTCACAATGGCAAAATCAGAACTTTGTTGAATGGCCTCACATTTCCTTCTGTTTTGGTCTAGCTTCTTATTGTGAATTGGATGTGTATGTGATGGGTGGCACCCATCTGCTTCTCAGTGCTTTGGACCTCTAAAGCCCTTACTCTGCCCTGGTATCCCTGAGGCCCCCTCGTATAGTCCAGTTATCAGGTCGTTACCTAAAAGATCCCTTTTCTTCTAACCTTTAGTTTCAGCTACAAGAACTCTGCCTGCCCTGGGCAGATTCTTAACATATTTGCCCATCAACAGCCTCTCAGAGAGGAATGTTAAATGCTGCAGTGATGTCAAAGGGGCCCCCAAGGGGAAGGGCCTGGGCCAAGCCCAGCCTGTCACTCATGGCCACGGCAGAGTGGGAGATAAGCAAAGGCAACGGCTGGGAGAGAGTCTGGTCTTCTGGGCGCCCTGAACAACCCAGGTGAGCCTGAGCTAGAGAACAATGAACTTCCAGACACCGCTGCCCAAGTGAAAGCAAGAGGTCTGCAGCTCTTCTGATTCCTCACCCTTGGCAATCTTCATCAGGATGTCAGGAGCCCCCAAGGAGAGTTTGCCGGGGTTGCCAGGGCTGGGCAAGGCCTGCTTAACCACCATGGACCAAAAGCTTAACGTGCTGGATGAGAAGGTTGACAAACTCTTAAATTTCCAAGAAGACGTCATGGAGAAACTGCAATGTGTGTACCGAGGCATGGGCCACCTGGAGCAAGGCCTGCACCGGCTGGAGGCCTCCCGTATTCTGGGCCCAGCTGGGGCCGACTGCACTCCCCCCACTGACACGCAGGCTGGGTGGCCGGAGGTCCTGGAACTGGTGAGGGCCGGGCGGCAGGATGTCGCCCAGCAGGGCGCCAGGCTAGAAGCCCTCTTCCGGATGGTGGTGGCTGTGGACAAGGCCATAGCTTTGTTGGGGGCTGTGCTCCAGAACTCGAAGGTGGTGGATTTTATCATGCAAGGGAGTGTCCCCTGGAGGAAGGGAAGTCTGGCCGACGGCCCTGCGGAGGTTGGTTCCTGCTGCCCTGCCCCGGTGCCCTTCTGGCTGGAAGGGAGGCTCAGGTCCCTGGTGGGGAGACCAGACAGGAAGCTAGTCCTAGGAGAGGTGGAGGGCTGTTGTTCCCTCTTGTGCCTCCTGTGTGACCTGTTGATGGGAACATGGAGAGATGGAAACTTAAAGACCATAGGTGGGTTTCCAGACAGGGCAGGACAGGTGGATTTCCCCCAGGGAAAGGGAGAGGCAGTGCCTCTGTGGGGCCCTGGGCTGTGCAGGGAACCTAGAAGTGGGGGACAAATGAGCCATTAGGGAGAGGAGGGCAGTTACACTTCTTTGACATCCCAGGAACTTCTTTTCTCCTTACACCTGGGGTAGGAGAGAAGTGGGGAGTGCTCAGTTTACCCTGACAGAGCCCCCTTCAGAAACCCAAACCTCCCTCCCTTCCTGTCCCCAGCCTTGTGCTCTGTCCCCGAGTGGGCGGAGTGTGCAGCTGCCTGTGGGGAGATGAGTGTTGACAGTGACCCACGGGGGACACAGGCGGGGGACACAGGCGGGAGCCGGAGCCTGGGGGTGGAGTGTGGCATTTCTGGGAGCGGCTGTTCCCAAGGGTTGCATAATCAGACCCGCTGGCTAATGAAAGCTTGGCTGGTGTGTGTGTGTGTGTGTGTGTGTGTGTGTGTGTGTGTGTGTGGTGTGTGTAGAGGCAACACTGGGAACAGCAGGGTAAGCCACCTAGCAACACTCACATGGCCTGGAGCCACCCTTTCAGATCTCTGCAGCTTCCCCCCAGCATGAAGTCTGTGCTTAAACTCTGTCAGCGACTGAGGCTTTCAGAGGCAAGGCTGCAGGAGTTTGCCTTCCCTTCCCCTCCCCAGCCAGGCCAGAACTCGCTCTGCAGATCCCTTCGCTCCCTGCCCAGCTGCTTCTCCAGAGCTGGCCCCTCCCACCCCAGCTCCCTGCTTTCTGCACCTCCCCTGAAAGTCAGGCCTGCAGGGGAGATGTGACCTTCTGCTCTTGACAATGATAACCAACCTCAGCTTTAAAACAGAAAATAAATCTAATTTATGCTCATGGTAAGAAAACATTCTCCCTCCTACTGCATCCCCCCAGTCCCCGGGACAGCCCTCCTCCCCAGACAATCATAGGAACCAGTCTCCTGTGAAACCTTCCAGATAGAGTCTGTTTATCTACAAGCACATTGGTATACACACCACCCTCTTTGTTTTGCTTTGTTTTAACTCAAATATTACTCACATTGTACTGGCCTGGATTTTTTCTAACTTAACATATTTGGGGCATTGTTTCATATTTATAGCTAGAAAGCTTCCTCGTTCTTGTTAAGTTGCAGAGAGCTCTCTTTTTGAGGATGTGTCTTAATTTGCTAATCAGTCCCATATCATTGTTTGTTTATATTGTTTCTCATTTTTAGCTATTATAGATAATGATGCAGTGACTAACCATGGAAGTGTGAGTTTATCTATATGACACACTCCTAGAAGTGGCAGTGCTAAGCCAAAGGGTAAATTTATACAATAAATGAAGCCAAACCAACCTTCAAAGGAGTTATTCTAATTCAATAACATATGGGAATGCTTGTTGCCCCATTTTTGCTAACAAAGCATATTATCCAGTTTTTGACTCTTTGCCTGTCTGGCGGATGAAAACATCTTATTATGCATGTGTTTTTTAAAAAACATTTTAGTATAAAAAATGTCAAACATTTATAAAAATAGAGATTAGTACAATGAACCCTGTGAGCCCATAACTGGAGGCTGATGTTTCCTACCCACTTCCCTCTTTCCAGATTATTTTGAGGAAAATCTGAGATAATGGATTATTTCTTCCATAAGCATTTCAGCAAATATATCTAAACCATAAGGGCTCTTTTAAAAAACATTATCATGATCTAAAATGTGAATGGTAACTTGATATTACCAGTCAGCGTTCAAATGTCCCTGATCGGCTTATGCCTTATTTATTTATTTTTATCATTTGTTTATTTGAGTTAAAATCCAAATAAGGCAATTGGTTATATGCCTCTTAAAGCTAACTTTTTTTAAAAAATTCTTAAAATTAAAAAAAACTTTTTATTATGAAAAATTTCAAACATAACCAAAAGTAGACAGAATGATATATCTCATTGTAGTTTTAATATGCTCATGCCCTTTTCCCTCTATTTCCTTTTTTTGCCTTTTGCTTGATTTGTAAGAGTTCTTCATATATTAGTGAAACCAGCTGTCATACGTGTTGTAGATATTTAGGCATTTCTGGATAGGGTGAAGTCATGGAACTTTCTGTTTTCTGAGTTCTTGCCATAGTTCTTGCCTGTGATTGATCTGGCACGTGATTGATCTCTCTTCCGGTCTTTGTGTTTAATACACATCCCAGTAACTATGTTACTAGATCTAGTACTAGATCTAGAACTAAGGGCTAGATCTAGTCTCCCAGGCAGGCTGTCAGCTCCTTGCTGACTGTGAGGCCTCTGCTTCCCTCTGTGTGCTGGCAGGGCTGGCCATTAGACAGCTGTGCCCGAGCCCCAGCTGTTTAACACACTGTCCATGCTGAAAGCAGCGCACTGTGGAGACTTTCTGGAGATCCTCTTTGTATTTCCTGGGAGAGTAGGGGCATAGCAATTTGTGGAATTGAATTCAGCCTTAGCAGTGGCTGCCAGGACTTCGGGAAGCTCCTCCTCAGGTCTGGAGTGCCCAGTGGCACTTCGTTTGGTTGTAACAATGAATCAGATTATTACTGGAAGCCGCGTGCTCTCTCATGGACAGGGTCAGGTTCAGCCAGGATGGGCAGAATCACAGTCAGCCTGCTCAGAAGGCATCGGTCCTCCAGATGCCTAGGCATTTGGGGTCTATCCTTTTTCTTCTGGATGCATCGGACAAGGCAGGAACCAAAAGTTTGAGCCTTGAAGTCAAAACCCAGCTCTGCCTGTGTGTGTGTTTGTGTGTGTGTGTGTGTGTGTGTGTGTGTGTGTGTTTGTGTGTGTGTGCGCGCGCACACACACGCCTCTCTCTACCAAAGACAAAGGGAGGGAGAAGACAGTCTGAGCCCCACAAGGTCTACCAAAGGACAGTCTGTTCAAGTCTTTCTCTACTGATGGGTGAAACAGGAGGCAGCGTGATAATGCTTTCAGTTCCCCCAACTACGGGGGTGGCAGGGCAGAGTCTGTAGAAAGAGACCAAAGGAGAGGTCTCTGCAGAGCAGGGCATCCGGGTCACATTGATGATGCTGGTGATAATCATGATGACAGCAGCTAGCACTTATTTATTAAGTGTTTCCATGTGTTATGTTGTTACCATTAAGAGGGCAAAGCTTACTGTCCTGGAATCCCAAAGACATGAGCAGAAAACAGGACTGAGAGAAGGGGGCACAGCATAGGAAAAACAGTGGAACCAACCTGGAACCAAGCAGAACCCTATGTGCCACCCCCCACCCCCACTCCAGTACAAAGGCCCCTCCACGTCCCCTGCCTCTTGTTTGTGGAAAAGCTGAAGTCTCCCAGGCCTCCCCAAGCCACAAAAGAGCAGGCCAAAGCAGCTAACGATTAGGACAACAGAGTCACAGACTCAGTGTCTGATGCACGTTCCTGAGTTGTTTTACGGATACTGTAACTGCCACCAGAGGGAAAAAGCTAACTACATGTTGACCAGACTGCAGCCATGACTTAAGCTCCATCTTGAGCAGCACTGAATCTATGGCTAGCAAAATTTCAAGAACTGGCCTCAAGAGAATGGGATGCTATTGCTCATAATAATCTATATCTTTGTGGGCATCAACATAATTGTAGCTTCTTCTGCCCGTATATGTAAATGGGCAACTACACTTGACAGCAAAGAGATGCTACAGACCCATGCCAACATCTTCCACTCTAAGAATACAGCGCCCTACGTCAGCACGAAGTAGTTACAGAAGACGGACTTTTGCCCATAATCCCATAGAAATGGAATGACGTTCTGACAAGTGGGGATTTGTAAGCAGCTTTTGGCAGGAAAGAGCTCTTTGCAGGAGGCCCCTTTTGTCTTGTCACTAACCTTAAACCAGGCACCCCCATGCTCTACTCATCTCTGGCCCAAGCGCAACTTTCAAATATTTTGATCACACAATACCTTGCCTAACATGTCAGTTCTTTCTGTAGATCAAAGAAGTAGAAATGAAGAATAAGTAACTAACAGAAGACCAGATCTCTTCCCTAGCTTCCCCTTCAGTACTCTCACAAACTGTGTGAACAAACTGTGAACAAGATAGCATCAACAAGCCTGCACGACAAGCCTGCATACACTGGGGGATGGCGACAACTCTGATTAACTGAGATTACTTCACTCTTTCCCTTTAAAAACTTTCACGGCTGAGCAGATTCTTTGGAGGCGGTTTTTGGGGGACGCTGAGTCCACCCTCTCCCCAGATTGCCAGCATTCTGATTAAAAGCAACTTTCCTTTCTACCAACATTTGCCTCTCTCAAGTATTGCATTTTGAGGAAAAAGCAGCTGGACCTGATTTGGTAGCAAATGTAACCTCCATCCTTAGTGTCAGGGAGACATGCAAGAGAGGTGAGCACTATGGTGGGAATTGCTCCAGCTGATTTTTGCCACATGGGCCTGGAATTCCCAGATCTTCCAATTTTCTTTTTCAAGAGAAGCTGGGAACCTAGAATTTTTTCTAATCAGTTTTATTAAGGTATAATTGACATACAATAAACTGCACATACACACACTAAGTATGCACAATTTAAGTATACAGTTCAACAAATGTATACACCCTAATAACCATCACCACAATCAAAATGTAGAACAATTCTAAATGGATCTTAGAATTTTGATGTAAAAATCTCCTAGATTTAAAATGGTGGTAACAAATTTAAAATTTTTAAATTCTATGCAAGCCAAAAAAAATGCGAGCTCTTTTTGGACTCTGGCCTCCTAGTTGGGGCCTCTGTGGACAAGGCAGGAGAAAGGGCCTTCAGTCTCTGGCCTGAGACCAGACCCACTTCTGTGACAAGTGCCAGGAGGAACCTTAGGGGCCATATCAGTCAAAGGCTCAGAAATACCAGGGGGGCCCAGCAAGGGTCAGGCCACCTAGAAATATTTGCATTTGGAAATACTGAGTGCTCTGGACGATTTCAGGGGCACGAGCATATGCACTGGACTGGTGTGGACCATTCAGTTCAGGAAGACCTGCTGAGAGCCTCACTGGGTGGGCTCCGAGTGTCCTTACATGATCTGCTCTGTCTCAGACAACACAAAATCATCCGAGCTATTGAGCACTTATCATGTGCTGGGAGCACTTCTCAGGAAATTCCATAAATTAACTCCCCCAATCCTCCCGCTAGCTCTACGAGTAGGTAATATTATTCTTCCCATTTTACAGATGAGGAAAGTGAGACGCAGAGAAGTTAAGGATCTTGGCCAAGTGGTGAAGGTGGGGTTTAAACTCAGCAAGTCTGGTTCAAGGGTCCTGTACTGCAAAGAGGCAACCTTGGGATCCACCCACCTAGCTCCCAAGCAGACATTATTAATTGATAGTGGCACTCTCCCCCTGCAAGCATAGGTTTATCTGACCTTAGTATCCAACTCAAGCCAACACTGTAAAAGACATGACCGATTGATCTAAATTGACACCTTAAATTAATTTTCCATGCCTTGTCTAGTATTTTCAGGTCTGGTCTGTTTAGATCACCCTGTCGGGGGCTAGGTCTGCCCCTTACCTGCACTATGGTGACCCGTTAGAAAGGACTTGGTGATCTTGGGAAAGCCTCAGCATTCTTATCTCTAAAATGACAATAGTAATATGTACCCTCTAGTATTACTCTGAGACTAAGAAATAACCTAAGTTCTTCTATTTCAAGCACAAGGTAGGTGCTCAACAAATGTCTGTGGCCTGAACGATGATGTTGATGCTGCTGCTAGTTTTTATGGTTATTCTTTTAGAACAAAGAGCGAGTGGAAGAGAAAGGAGCAAAACCAAAGCACGCGCTGAGCACCAGAGGCGTGCAAGCCGAGCTCAAGGGGCCTTGGGAAGGTGAGTGGGGCCCTGTTGGCTTTATCCCACCTGCACACCTAATTTCAGAATAAAAATACCACCACCACCACCACCAATATGATTACTGAAAAACTGCTGAAACGTATTCTTCCTCTTTTTTTTTTTTGCAGTTCTTTTTGTCCTTTATGCTTATTCCATTCTGTATTGCTCTTTATTTCACTTTGCTTTAAATTTTTATGAATCGCTTTTTTTAAGCACTTGGTCAACTTTAAATTTTTTGAGCTAATTTTCTTTTATAATCTTGCATAATAGTTACATGGTTCCAAAGTCGAATTGACAAAACAAGGTATATTAAGAGAAGTCTAGCTTCTATGCATGTTCCCTGCATCCTATTTTCTCCCCTGCATATGTAACTATGTAAAAAAGTTTTTGTCTTATCTTTCCTTTGAGGTCCAGTCTCTTTAGACCACATTGTAAGTGGTTATACACACACATATGCATGCTCACATACACACACATGTGCATGCTCACATACACACAACCTTCCTTCTTAGACAAACAGAAGCATACCACACACTTCTCCTCCTTGCTTTTCTCCACCGTATATCCTGAGATCACTCCATAGCCGCATATGGAGATATTCGTTTCTCCTTTTTTATGCCTGGGTGGCCCTGGTTTAGTCAATCAACTCTCTCCTGACGGTCACTTGCATTATTTCCAGTCTGTCTATTATAAACATGGTGCACTGAATGGCCTTCTACATATTTTTCAGGATACCTTTGGGATAGGTTCTTCTAAATAGGAGAGCATTTTTATCCTGCTTATTTTCCTATAGAGAGCCAGAAGGTGGACCTGCCAGAGGGGACAGTGGAGAGGTTGCCCCCCATCAGTGCTTCGGGGATAGGAGCTGACCTCCTTACCCAGGCAGAGGCCTCACCAGGGCAGGGAGACGGAGTTCCTGGCCCAGCCCAGGTACGCCCAGAGGTGGAAGCCAAAGCTCCTGTAACATCCAGCGAGAACCCCAGGACGGGCCTGGAATTGTCTGTGGTGTCTGAAAGGGTCAGTGAGGCTCCCACCGGCCAGGAGGCTGCATCGGGTGCAGGACGAGGAACATCATCCAGTAGACCTGACCCTCGGCTCTCGGAGGAGGGCATGAGGCTGACTCCAGCACTGCCAGCCCAGGCCAAGTCAGCTCACGGTGGTGGAGAAACACCTCCAAGGTAAGGGATGTGCCTCCAAGCTGGGCAAGGGAAGGCATTAACTGCAGCTCCTGGGCTGGAGCCTGCTAAGGGGCCAGCTGCTCCTGTTTGAGTGTCCACTGTGTGTGCAGCTCTGGCTAGCCTCGAGACAAGAAGACAGGAGAAGGCCGAGGCCCTGCTTTCAGAAGCTTAGAGCACTGGTTCTTACCTGGCACCCATTAGAATTACTGGAAGGAATTTTTTAGATACGAATGCCCAGAGGTTCTGATTTATTCAGTCTGGAGTGATGCTCAAGCATTGTTTTTTTGTTTATTTGTTTGTTTTTAAAGCTCCCCAGGTGAGTCCCATGTGGAACAAGACTGAGAGCAATAGTAGTAGCTATAATAATACTTAAAAGTGTTCACCAGGTGCCAGTCGTTGGCTGAGCATTTCACAGACATCATTTCGTTTTATTCTCACAACCTCCCCAGGAGGCAAGTGTGGTTGGTGTCCCCAGTTTACTCATGATGAAACAGGGTCAGGTTGCCCAGGACCACACAGCTAGGGATTCATAGAGCTGGAATCTGAATCCAGGTGTTTGTTTGTTTATTACGGAAGTATAGTTGATCTACAATATCATATTAATTTCAGATATACAGCATAGGGATCAGAAGTTTTATAGTTTATACTCCATTAAAAGTTATTATAAGATAATGACTATAATTCCCTGGGTTATACAATATATCCTTGTTGTTGATCTAGTTTATACATGGTAGGTGTACCCTAATGAGCAACGCCCCGCTTCACTCTCCCCACTGGTAACCAGTAGTTTGTTCTCTGTATCTATGAGTCTGTTTCTGTTTTGCTATATACCTTCATTTGTATTATTTTTTAGATTTCACATATAAGTGATATCATACAGTAATTCTTTCTCTGTCTGACTTATTTCACTAAGCATAATATGCTCTAGTTGTATGTATGTATGTATGTATGTATGTATCTAGCTGCTGCAAATGGCAGAATTTCATTCTTTTTTATGGCTGAATAATATTCCATTATCTGTATATACCATGTCTTCTTTATCCATTCATCTGTTGATGGACACTTGGGTTGCTTCCATATCTTGGCTATTGTAAATAGTGCTGCTATGAACATTGGGGCACATGTATCTTTTTAAATAAATGATTTTGTTTTTTTCCTGGATATATACCCAAGATTGGAATTACTGAGTCATATGGTAGTTCTGTTTTTAGTTTTTTGAGGCACCTCAATACTGTTTTTCATAGTCACTGCACCAATTTACATTCCCACCAACAGTGTACAAAGGTTCATTTTTCTCCACATCCTTGCCAACATTTGTTATTTGTAGTCTTTTTTTTTTTTTTTTTGGCTGTGTTGGGTCTTCGTTGCTGCATGCAGGCTTTCTCTAGTTGTGGCAAGTGAGGGCTACTCTTTGTTGCAGTGTGCGGGCTTCTCATTGTGGTGGCTTCTCTTGTTGTGGAGCATGGGCGCTAGGCTTGCAGGCTTCAGTAGTTGCAGCATGGGGGCTCAATAGTTGTGGCATGCGGGCCCTAGAGCGTGTGGGCGTCAGTAGTTGCGGCTCATGGGCTCAGTAGTTGTGGCTCACGGGCTCTAGAGTGCAGGCTTAGTAGCTGTGGTGCACAGGCTTAGTTGCTCCACAGCATGTGGGATCTTCCTGGACCAGGGATCGAACCCGTGTCCCTGGCATTGGCAGGTGGATTCTTAACCACTGTGCCACTGGGGAAGTCCCTATTTGTAGTCTTTTTGATGATAGCTGTTCTGACAGGTGTGAGGTGATATCTCATTGTTGTTTTGATTTGCATTTCTCTAATAATTAGCAATGTTGAGCATCTTTTCATGTGCTTTTTGGCTGCCTGTATGTCTTCTTTGGAGAAATGTCTATGCAGGTCTTCTGCCCATTTTTTCATTGGCTTTTTTGTTTTTTTCATATGGAACTATATGGGCTGTTTATATATTTTGGATATTAACCCCTTGTTGGTCATGTCATCTGCAAATATTTTCTCCCGTTCAGTAGGTTGTCTTTTTATTTTTTCAATGTCTTTTCATTTTTTCATTTTTCTTTGCTGTGAAAAAGCTTTTAAGTTTAATTAGGCCCTGTTTGTTTGTTTGCTTTTATTTCTTTCGACTTAGGAGACAGATACAAAAAAAACAGTTGATATGATTTACATCATAGGCTGTTCTGACTGAACATTCTTTTCCAGGAGTTTTATGGTTTGGGGTCTTATATTTAGGTCTTTAATCCATTTGGGTTTTTTTTTTATTATATGGTGTGAGAAAGTAGTCCAGTTTGATTCTTTTGCATGTAGCTGTTCAGTTTTCCCAACAGTGTTTATCAAAGAGGCTGTCTTTTCCCCGTTGTATATTCTTGCCTCCTTTGTCATAGATTAATTGACCATAGGTGTATGCGTTTAGTTCTGGACTCTCTGTTCTGTTCCATTGATCTATGTGTCTGTTTTCTGTGCCAGTACCATGATGTTTTGATTACTGTAGCTTTGTAATATAACCTGAAGTCTGGGAGGGTGATACCTCCAGCTTTGTTCCTTTTTACCAAGATTGCTTTGGCACTTTGAGGTCTTTTGTGGTTCCATATGAACTTTAGGATTATTTGTTCTCATTCTGAAAAAATGTCATGGGTATTTTTATAAAGATTGCATTAAATCTGTAGATTGCTTTGGGTTGTATGGCCATTGTAACAATATTAATTCTTCCAATCCAAGAGCATGGGATATCTTTCCATTTCTTTGTATCATCTTCAATTTCCTTCATCAATGTTTTATAGTTTTCAGTATATAGGTCTTTCACCTCCTTTGTTAAGTTCCTTCTTAGGCATTTTTAAAATGTGATTTTAAAAGGGATTGTTTTTTACTTTCTCTTTCTGATAGTTTAACATTAGTGTATAGAAAAGCAACAGATTTCTGTATACTAATCTAGTGTCTTGCAATTTCATTTAATTTGTTTATTAGTTTTTATAGTTTATTTGCTTTATAGTTTTATCTGTTTTATTGTTTGTTTATTTGTTTTATAGTTTTCAGGTGGAGACTTTAGGGTTTTCTATTTAAAGTATCATGTCATCTGCAAATAGTGACAGTTTTACATCTTTCCTTCCAATCTGGATGCCTTTTATTTCTTTTTCTTGTCTGATTGCTGTGGCTAGGTCTTCCAATATTATGTTAAATACAAGTGGAAAGAGTGGGATCCTTGTCTTGTTCCTGAATTTAGAGGAAAGGCTTTTAGCTTTTCACCATTGAGTGTGATGTTAGCTGTGAGTTTGTCATAAGTGACCTTTATTATGTTGAGATGTGTTCTCTCTATACCTACTTTGATGATAGCTTTTTATAATGAGTGGATGTTGAAGTTTGTCAAATGTTTTTTAGGCATCTATTGAGATGATCATGTGATTTTTATCCTTCCCTTTGTTAGTATGATGTATCACATTGATTGATTTACAAATATTGAAACATCCTTGGGTCCCTGGAATAAATCCCACTTGATCATGGTGTACGATCCTTTTTATATATTGTTGGATTTAGTTTGCTAATATTTTGTTGAGGATTTTTGCATCTATTTTCATCAAAGATACTGGCCTATAGTTTGCTTTTGTTGTTGTGTCTTTTTCTGATTTTGGTATCAGGGTCATGGTGGCCTCATAGAATGCATTTGGGAGTGTTCCATCCTCTTCAAGTTTTTGGACTAGTTTGAAAAGGATAAGCACTAGTTCTTTTTTATAGAACACAAAAAAGAATTAGCCTGTGAAGCTGTCTAACCCTGGACTTTTGTTTGCTGGGAGTTTTTTTTAAAATTACAAATTCAGTTTCACTACTAGTGATCAGTCTGTTCAAATTGTCTGTTTGTTCTTGATTCAGTCTTGGCAGGTTGTATGTTTCTAGAAATTTGTTCTAGGTTGTCCAATTTGTTCACGTATAGCTGTTCATAGTATTCTTTTATGATTTTTTTGTAGTTCTGTGGTATTGTTTGTTATTTACCCTCTTTCATTTCTTTTCTTGTTTGTTTTTAATTGAAGTATAGTTGATTTACAATGTTGTGTTACTTTCTGCTGTACAGCAAAGTGAGTCAGTTATACATATATATACATTCTTTTTTAAAATATTCTTTTCCACTATGGTTTATCATAGGATAGTGAATATAGTTCTCTGTGCTCTACAGTAGGACCTTGTCCTCTTTCATTTCTTATTTTGTTTATTTGGGTCCTCTCTCCTTTCTTCTTGATTAGTGTGGTTAAATTTTGTTTGTCTTTTCAAAAAACCACCTCTTGGTTTCCTTGATATTTTCTATTGTGTTTTGATCTCTATTGTATTTATTTCCTCTTTAATATTTATTTTTTCTTTCCTTCTGCTGACTTTGGGCCTTCTTTGTTCTTCTTTAGGTGGTAATTCCTTTAGGTAGTAGTTTAGGTTGCTTGATGTTTTTCTTGTTTCTTGAGGAAAGCCGGTACTGCTATCAGCTTCCCTCTTAGAACTGCTTTTACTGCATCCCATAGGTTTTGGAGTGTTGTGTTTCCATTTTCATTTGTCTCAAGGTATTTTCTGATTTCCTCTTTGATTTCATCATTGACACATTGGTTTTTTAGTAGCATGTTGTTTAGTCTCCACGTGTCTGTTATTGTTCCATTTTTCTTTCTATAATTGATTTCTGATTTCATACCACTGTAGTTGGAAAAAATGCTTGATATAAGAATACACATTCAGGATTTCTCTGGTGCAGTGGTTAAGAATCTGCCTGCCAATGCAGGGGACACGGGTTCGAGCCCTGGTCTGGGAAGAACCCACATGCCACTAAGCCCGTGTGCCACAACTACTGAGCTTGTGCTCTAGAGCCCATGAGCCACAAGTATTGAAACCCACGTGCCTAGAACCTGTGCTCCGTAACAAGTGAAGCCACTGCAATAAGAGAAGCCACCGCAATGAGAAGCTTGCGTGCTGCAATGAAGAGTAGCCCCCACTTGCTGCAACTAGAGAAAGCCTGCACACAGCAACGAAGACCCAACACAGCCATAAATAAATAAATAAATAAATACACATTCTTTTCAAGTACACATGGAATGTTCTCCGGGATAGATCACATGCTAGGCCACAAAACAATTCTCAAAAAATTTAAGAGGCTGGATCTAGGTTTTTGGACTCCAGAATCTGTGCCCCTAACCACTGCACCATCCTGTTTTTTCAGGTCAGCATTTAGTTAAGTCTTAAATAGTATGATGGGGAGAGAATGATGGGTGTTCAGAGGTGGGAGGTTGGTATGGGCTGAATCAATCCAGGGGCTTTCAGAAAGATTATGCTTGGAGCTCTGGAAGTGGACTTGGAGCTCTAAGGACTCAGTCTCAGGACCTGCCCTCAGCAGACATGGTGCAGGAAAAGGAAGAGCCAGAACTGCTGACTGTCAGGTCCTACCTAGCCCTGTGTTTTCCAGCAGTGTTCTCCAGGGGCAGGGCATCCTGGCCACAGGCAGCCCACTGAAGGGCACTCTGCTTCCTGGGCCTTTCTCTAAAGGGACTTGTGCCCTTCTGCACCTGCCCTTGGCTGTCCTGATCTATAACTGAGTCCCCCAAGGCCTGGCTCAGGGAGAGGAGCTGGTGTCTGTGTATGCTGTGGTGGCTGGCAGGGAAGCCCAGTCCTTTTTCTGCCTTCATTCTGGAAGGAAATATGAGTCCCCAGGAGACCTAAACAGCTGGAGGGAGGGACTCCTGGCAGGCATCCTTGGATCCTGGCCAAGGCTCTAAATGTGGAATCTAGGGTGGGGATGAACTTTCCATGAACTTGTTAGGGGCCCTAAAAGAATTCTGGGTGAGGGGGAAAGGTCTGTGTGTCAGTTTCAACCCTGAGTTGAATTTCAGACACAGACTGGGCTCAGGAAGTGGGGCGATCACTGCCTACCCTCCCTCCATCACCTAGCACATGGGTATATCTTGAGAAAAATGGATTTGAACTCGGTGGCTGCCTGTGTAGAGGATCCTTGGGCCCTTGCTGGACTTGGTGGAACAGAGTGCTGCAATCAATTAGCAATGCCTGCCCTGGGTGTGCTGCGCAGGAAGTGGGGAAGCCTTAGACACTCAGAGTGGCATGGGAAGGCATGGCAGTACCTTGGGGTCATCCCATGCCCCCAGGTATGAAGACCAAGAGGAACTCAATGGCTGTTGGCCTTCTTAGCTGGCTACCTGGCTACCTGGATATTCTTCCAGAAACTGGCTTCCTGTAGTTTCTCATGTCCCTTGGTTAAGGCAAGGGCTGAGCTGGGCTTGGATGCCACCCTTCCCAACCTACCCTGTCATCACCAGCCCGTACTTGCTCCTGAGGAAGTGTCGGGGGACTTTTGCTGCCTCCCACCCAAGGCTTAGCTGTGAACAGGCTGCCGAACCAGGTGCATTCAGAAGTAGGCACTGCTCTCAGAGGACCTGCAGCAGCTCAGAGGAGGGGCCTGGGCCTCCAGCTGCTAGGGAAAGCCTTAATTTAAAAAAAAATGTGGTTAAAAACTCATAACATAAAATTTACCATCTTAACCATTTTCAAGTGTATAGTGTAGTTGTGTTAAGTATATTCATATTGCTGTGACACAGATCTCCAGAACTTTTTTGTCTTGTAAATCTGAAACTCTGTTACCATCAAACACCTCCCCCCCAGATCATGGTAACCACCTTTCTACTTTCTGTCTCTATGAATTTGACTATTGTAAGTCCTTCATATAATTCATTCTTCATATATGTGGAATCAGTCTTTCTGTCACTGGCTTATTTCACTTAGCATAAAGTTCTCAAGGTTCATCCAGGTCAGAACTTCCTTCCTTTTTAAGGATGAATAATATTCCATTGTATGTATATGCTACATTTTTTTATCCATTCATCTATCACTGGACACTTGGGTTGCTTCCACATTTGGCTGTTGTGAATAATGCTGCTGTGAACATGGCTGTGCAAATCTCTTTGAGATTCTGCTTTCAATTCTTTTGGATATATTTCCAGAAGTGAGATTGCTGGATCATATGGTAGTTCTATTTTTACATTTTTTAGGAACCGCCATACTGATTTCCACAGTAGCTGCACCATTTTAGGCTTCACTGTTTGAACCTCCTGCATTTGTACTTTCATTTCTTAGTCGACTCTCAGTACATCTGTGAGGTGTTACTGTCCCCGTTTGACAGAAGAGGTTGTTGAGGCTAGAACTGCCCAAACCCAGCCCTGTTCAGCAACCTGTGGCAGAACTACGGCCAGGATGGAGGTCGCCTGGCTCCCTCCTGAGACTCAGTCCACCCCAGGCACTCACCCCTTCACCCCTGCCCCAACACTCATAGACCTCGGCAGTGGGGTAGTGAAGGGCAGTCAGAGGGCAACTCTGAGAGGGAGGGTCTGAAGCTCCCAGGATCAGGGTCCTTCCCTCTGAATGTCAGGGCGTAGAAGGCCTTCCTGACCTCCAGCTGGCTTCCAAAACCACAATGCTGCTTGGTCTGGGTAACAAAGGTGGATGCAGTGGGCCCAGTGGCATGGCCCAGTGGCATGGCCCATTGGCATGGCCCAGTGGCGCAGGGGGCCCTGTAGGGAGGCAGAGAGTTTCCTCAGCTGTGTAAGCATGCAGGCCCAGCACAGCCAGGACTGTTTTATTCAGGAGAAACAGAAAGTCCAGACTCTTATGAGCAATTCCCTGATTTTGCTAAAATGTGTCTGACCTGAAGCTTCAGTGTGATGTTTTACTTGATTCACCCTTCTCTTCATTTAATGGAAGGGAAACTGAGGCCCAAAGAAGGGAGGGAAGAGCCCAGGTCTCCTGCCTCCCGGCCACATTCCTCCTGGAGCAGAAGCACATTCCCAAGGGGCCACAGAGACAGCTGGTGCCCACCTCCCCACTCCTCCCAAGCCCCATCCACCACAGGTTGCTTCAAGTCTTTCCTGGATGCTGATCCAGTGGAATCCTGAGAGCTGGTGGCACCGTATGTCACTGAAGCCAGTCTCTCCCCTGGTGTCCTGTCTGGGTAGAGAGGGACAGGGGATAGAATCTGCTGGTTTCAACCTCAAGCTAACCCTTATTATTATAACAACCCAAAGGGCCCGTTTTAACAGATGAGAAAACTGAGGCTAAGAGGCCATGGTCAGTGAATGGCAGCAGCAGGCATTTGAACCCAGGTCTGTTCTGACTCAGGTTCTTGCTTTTAACCTCAGGGCCACATTTCTCTCTGCCCCAGGATCTCCATCCACGTGCAGGAGACAGACATCCCTGGAGAGCTACTTGTGACACGAGGCGGCAGCCTCAGAACCACGCCCCCTGCAGAGGCTCTAGCAGCTGCCCATCCAGGTGAGCAGGACTCACCTGGGCCCAGGTGCTACCCCCAGGCCCCTGGGACTGAGTCAGGAAAACATATCCCAAAAGGAGCTGGGGTGTTTTCCCCACTGTGGAAGCGGAGCAGCGACTGTGGAGCAAAGGCCAAAGAGAAACAGGGATCTGGGCCTGAGCCCGCCATGACACCAAGCAGGGCCTGGAGGGACAAGGGAGCCGATGCCAGGATCCCAGGCCTGCAGCAGGACACAGGCCCAGGAGCAGGGGACCCTGAGCCTGGAAAAGACTGCACAGCCAGGGGCACGAGCAGAGCCGAAGCAGGAAGGAGAACACCCCCAGGAGCTGAGGCGGGCAGCCTGTTTCTGGGTAAGTGAGGGCATTGCTATGTGCCTTGAGGTGAGTGAGTTTGAAAGGCCTACTCTGGGAGGCCTCCCTGAAGCTTCCAGGGAGAGAGAATGTGGGTGTTGGGGAGTCGAAGACTGGGAACAGCCTGCCAGCACATCCCAGGGCTGGAGACCAAGGCACGGAGATGCAGCAGGCTGAGCTCATGTTGGCTCTAGCCATTGGAGAGGAGGGAACCCATGGGGCTCAACTCGGATTTCTCAAAGCCAGCTGCCTGCCCGATACTATTGGTATCATTCTGGATTGAGACAGGGAAGGCTCCTGCTAAAAGGCAAATCCATTAACTGGTATATATAACCCACTATCAGCCATTTGCGCTCAGTGGGCTGACTCTCATCCAGGATCGGGAAGGGGCTGCTGACTGCTTTCTGTCCCAGTGGTGGTGGGAGGCGTCCTTGTGTTCCTGTGACCCAAAGGGCCTCAACTCCTCCAGCCCTTAGGGCCACACCCTCGTTGGTCTGAGCCCTCATCCCATATGGCTGCTGGAAGGCCACCATTTGCTGACTCCCTGTCCCAGAATTTCTGGAGGTCCCTGAGGAAGGGCTGAGCGTTCTGCAGGTCATCCTGGTGCCCCTTGCCAGTTCCGGGCTCCACGGTTGCCCTGTGCTGTGCTCTGACTTCTCTGGCTGCCTCCTCTCCCCTTGTATGACCTGGTCCAGATGTGGACATAAGGCCTACCTTAATTCCTGAAACACGGCTGAGAGCAGGCTGTGACTTTAGAGTCTTTTCCGAGACTTGAGATGGTGATAGAGCCAATGTTAGCTGAGGACTCCCTGTGAGCCGAGCCTCGGGCATTTGTGGTGGCGTTTACCCTCACAGGCCTGTGGAGTGGAGACACGTGAAACACAGGAGGGGCTGAGAAGCACGTTTAAGGTCACAAGGTCAGTGCTGACAGAGCCAGGATCTGACGGTTGGGCTCCAGAACAGAAGGCAGTTACTTTGCAGTGAAGGAGACTTCAGACTGGAATTCTAGATGTGGATTCTCTGCGACACACCCAGGCTTTCCAGGGGCCCAGGAAACAACACAATCATGCAAATGTTACCCCCTTGTAGTCTAGGGCTTGGGCTCCCCTTTGCAGACACAAAAAAGGTATACAATATGCTCTCAAAGCAAATTCAGTCTTCTACTTTGGGGAGCAGAAAGTGGCTTGTGAGACAAACTAAGAGAAAATAGAAGTATTTCCCCTGCTCTGGGTCCAGGGTTGTGGAGGTCATGGAGCTGTTCCTGGAACATTCTGAGTACTCCCTCGATAAGCCCCCAACAAACTGGCAGAAGCCGTTTTTGAACCAAGTGGGTCTGGGACTGGGGGTGGGGGGAGCTGAGAGGTGGGGACGGCATGAAGGAGGCTCACAGGCTGCTGTCTCCCGAACAGACGACAGTCCAGCCCCGCCAGCCCCCTTCGAGCATCGGGTGGTGAGTGTCAGGGAGACCTCGACCTCAGCGGGCTACACAGTGTGCCAGCATGAAGTCCTGGGAGGGTAAGCTGGCCTTCTGCCTTGATGAGGGGCGGGGCAACTGGACAGCTGGGTGCCGCTGGTGGTTCTCAGGAACTGATTGCTGGAGCCACCGCCAGGAGTGGGATGTCCTGCACAGCATGAGAGTGGGCGGAGGGCTCACAAAGAGTGGGTGAGGAGATATCCGCGGAGTGCAGGAGGGCCCGCGTGGTGTGAGTGAGATGAAGTGTAGGGTGCAGGAGGGCCCACAGTGCGGGCCTGGGACCCATGTACTGGAGGTGGCACGGGAGCTGACATGGGGTGGGGCAAGAGGGATGTCCTCTAGGGTGCAGGACTGCCTGGGTGGTGTGGGTGGAGAGAACACCCCCTGGGGTGCAGGGTGGCCTAGGTGGTGTGGGTGACGGGGACACCGCCTGGGGTGCAGGATGGGCTGGGTTCTGTGGGTTGGGGGGACACCCTCTGGGGTGCAGGATGGCCCACACATATGGGGTGAAGAAGCTCTTTTCCAGGTTCAGAGCCCGTGGGTGTGCGGGTGGTGACTGATAACTCTGGGGTGCAGGATAATCCCTGTGGTGTGTGCGGAGCAGAGGTAGGACCAGAAAGCCCAGGGTCCAGGATGAGTCTGGCCCACCACATGCTGGGTGTGCTTCTGGGGCTCTGAGACTGCTCTGTCATCATATCTCTGTAGGGGCCGGTTTGGCCAGGTCCACAGATGCACGGAGAAGGCCACGGGCCTCTCGCTGGCGGCCAAGATCATCAAAGTGAAGAGTGCCAAGGACCGGGTGAGGTTTTTGCCCCAGGCCAGTGGGTGTCCCGGACCAAGCTCAGGATTCCTTCACTTCCCCCTGGGCCACCGTGGGCCCCACACTGCACCAGGCCCCTCCACTCTGAGCAGGAAACCTAGGCACCTTTCCTGCCTCTTTTCCATGACTCCCACACTCCAGTCAGCAGGTCACCTTGCACCCTGGGCAACAGGTCCTCCTAGACCTCCAGGGTTCCTTTTTGGGCTTCAGGTTTCCTATCTGTGAAATGGGTGGGCCCTTGCTGCTGTAAGAAGCTGGTGTGGGTGGTGAGTTGAGGAAAGCTGGTGTGAGAACAGGAAATGAGGATGCAGGGTGGGGGTGTGTGTGTCTTGGGAAGGGCAGCTGACTTCTCTTCCTGACCCATTTCTTGGAAACTCTTCTCCCCTTTGGCTCCACAAGGAGGATGTGAAGAACGAGATCAACATCATGAACCAGCTCAGCCATGTGAACCTGATCCAGCTCTACGATGCCTTTGAGAGCAAGAACAGCTTTACCCTTGTCATGGAGTAGTGAGCATGGGAGGCGGGGCCAGGGCTCGGGGTGGGGCTGGGAGCTGAGATTCCAGCAAAACTCTCCCTTTCCTTCCCCTCTCAGTGACATCCAGGGAAAGGCAGCACCTCCTCTGCCTGACCTCCAACATAGAGCACAGAGGACAAAGCCATTTGTCACAAACCAGAAGCCAGTGAACCTGATTTGACCTACAGATATTGTTTTGGCCTACACAATTTTTAGTAATTTTGATTTAGTTGTTAACTAAATTTAGTTGTTAGTTGGAAATTGGGAAATTTCACATTAAAACCTAGATGTCTAGCTTTCCTTGCAAACATAAAAGATCTAGTAATGCTGGATCTACATTTCCAGTTGGAAGTGGTGTGATGGAGCTCATAGTAACTGACCTTTGTAGACGGGGCAATCAAACTCCCATTTGCTACAGTCCCTATCACTTCCAGCTACCCATGACGTTGAGGCCAGGGGCTCAGGGGACATTTATTATTGTGCTTGTGTTGCTATTTTCCTTCTGGTAGGACTGAGGATAGTGAAATATTTGTCATGTCAGTTCTCTATAAAAAGTGGAAAAAGAAGTTAGACTAAGGGCTATGTGTTCTAAGAAAAGTTTTGTCTTACATCTGGTCTGATTTAGGCTTCTTGCCATGTAGGTACTAATTGGCCCCTGTAGGCCAATGAGTTTAAAACCTTGGCCTAGAGTATCAAGAGTGAATATCCAGAGTGAGCCTGGATGATCAACACTGCAGATAAGCCCCAGTCTCCCATTTGGCCCATCACTTCCTTTTTACCACCCATACTCTGAGCTGGGAATGGACAAGAGCAAAGGTCCCCGTAAAACCCCAGATGGCAGTGGCACCCTTGGGCTCACCTGGTGATGAGTGGACCAGTCTTCTGAGAGCCTTGCTCAGTCAGTGCTTGCCTCTTCCTTTGCCTTGGCAGTGTGGATGGGGGTGAGCTCTTTGACCGGATCACAGAAGAGAAGTACCACCTGACTGAACTGGATGTGGTGTTGTTCACCAAGCAGGTCTGCGAGGGTGTGCAATACCTCCATCAGCAGTACGTCCTGCACTTGGACCTCAAGGTCAGGCTCCGCCCTGGGCATGTGGCGGTTGGGTGCCCCGGTTCCTGAGCCTCTGCTGCTCTCTCATCTTTGAGAGCTCTGTCAGCACCCAATCCTGGCTTCCATTCCTTGCTCTGCCACTGCCTACTTCTGGAGTCTAGGGCAGGCCAAGTCTCTGAGCCTCAGTTCCTCCATCTGTGACATGTGGAAAATAGGTACCTCATTAAGTGTTCTTTGACGATCAAATGATACAGTGACTTTTTTCTATAAAAAAATCTCTAAGATTAGTTTTTAAAAACTAAAATAGAAACATGCATGTGGTAACAAATATAGACAATATAGAAATGTATGAAATGCACAGTGAAAGTTCTTCCCACTCAGTCTCTGTGCTGAGAGGTCTTCTGTATTAGCAATTTGGCATGACAAACACACACACACACAAGGGATCATACTATATATCTCATTTTTAAACTTGCCCTTTTTAGTTAACAGTACACTGTAGACATCTTTTCTCATTCTCTTTAAGGGCCATGGTATAGTCCATTGAATGAATGCATTACAGCTTCTTTTGTCTACTTGACAAAAAGTAAGCACATGGTAGCCATTCTTTTCTTTCTTTTTTGTACATGGGTTTATTTCTGGGGTGTCTGTTCTGTTCCATTGATCTACATGTCTGCCTTTTTATGCCTATATTATACTATTTTGATTAGTGTAGCTTAGTTACAGTTTGAGATCAGGAAGTGTGATGCCTCCAATTTTTTAGATTCTACTTATAACTGAGATCATACAGTAAGTGTCTTTCTCTGTCTGATTTATTTCACTTTGCATAATGCCGTCAAGTTCCATCTTGTCACAAATGGCAGAATTTCCTTTCCTTTTCTTTTTTTTTTTTTGACTGTGCCATGTGGCATCTTCGTTCCCCAACCAGGGATCAAACCTGTGCCCCCTGAAGTGGAAGTGTGGAGTCTTGATCACTGGACTGCCAGGGAAGCCCCACATTTGACTATTAAGCACTTGAAATATAACTAGTGTGAGTGAGGAACTGAATTTTAAATTTTATTAATTTAAATCTAAAAATTGACATGATTAAATATTGAAAAACATTAAGTATATTTGGAACAATTTCAATATGTTAATTTGTTTTTCAAACACTATCAATTTCATGAAATCTAAATACAAATAATTCATGAGATCTAAATACATCTAAAGTATTTCTGATGAAAATTTAGTGTCTGATTTGAGACGTGCTATAAATGTAAAATGCACACTGGACTTCAAAGGCAATATGATAAAATAATTGAAAATGTTTCATCGATATTTTTTATTTTGATAACCTACTGAAATGGTAGTGTTTTTGATATATCAGGCCAGAGAAAATTATTATTAAAATTAAGTTTTAGAAAATACTTTGAGATGAATGAAAATGAGAACACAACATGCCAAGACTTATGGGGGTGCATCTAAACTAGGAATGAAATTTGTAGCTGCAAACACTTATGTATTAAAAAGAACATCTCAAACCAATAATCTAACATTCCATCTTAAGAAACTAGAAAAAGAAGAGCAAGCTAAACTCAAAGCAAGCAGAGGATACAAATAAGAAAGGTTAGAGCAGAAATAATTGAAACAGAGAACAGAGAAACAGTAGAGAAAATCAATGAAACCAAAAGTTGGTTCTTTGAAAAGATCAATAAATTGACAAATCTTTAGCTATATTGAACTAGAGAGAAGACTCAAATTACTAAAATGAATGGAATGAAAGAGGGGGCATCACTACCAGCCTTACAGAAATAAAAAAAGATTATAAAGGAATGTTATGAAAAATTGTATGCCAGTAAATTAGATAATGTAGATAAAATGGAAGAATTCCCCCAAGAGACACAAACTTCTGAAAACTCACTCAAAAGGAATAGAAAATCTGAATAGACTTATAACAAGTAAAACAATCAAATTGGTGTAAAAAACTACCCACAAAGAAAAGCCTAGGCCCATGTGGCTTCACTGGTGAATTCTACCAAATGTTTAAAGAATTAATACCAATCCTTCACAAACTGTTCCAAAAATTAGAAGAGAATAAAGCACTTCCTCACTCATTTTATGAGACCAGACTTATCCTGATTCCAAAACCAGGCAGACATCACTTCTTGTGATGAAACTACAGACGAATATCCCTTGTGAATCTAGACGTAAAAATTCTCAATAAAAAATTAGTAAACTGAATACAGCAACATTTAAAAAGGGTTATACAGGGCTTCCCTGGTGGCGCAGTGGTTGAGAGTCCGCCTGCCGATGCAGGGGACAGGGGTTTGTGCCCCGGTCCAGGAAGAGCCCACATGCTGTGGAGCGGCTGGGCCTGTGAGCCATGGCCACTGGGCCTTCGCGTCCGGAGCCTGTGCTCCGCAACGGGAGAGGCCACAACAGTGAGAGGCCCGTGTACGGCAAAAAAAAAAAAAAAAAAAAAAAAAAGGATTATACACATCACAAAGTGGGATTTGTCCCAAGAGTGCAAGGTTGGTTTAACATATGAAAAATCAATCAATGTAATATGCCATATTAAAAGAATAAAGGACAACATGACATGATCATTTTACTAGCTAGAAAAATCACTTGACAAAATCAAACAACTTTTCATGGTGAAAACACTAAACAAATTAGGCATAGAAGAGAACTCCTTAACCTGATAAAGGTCATCTATGAAAAACACACAGCTAATTTTAAACTTAATGATAAAATGTTGAATGTTTACCTTTTAACATCAGAAACAAGACACGGGTGTATATTCTTGCCATTTCTATTAAACGTTGTACTTGCGGTTCTAACCAGGGCAATTAGGCAAGAGAATAAATAAAAGACATCCAGATTGGAGAGGAAGAAGTAAAATTCTATTCACAGATGACATGATTTTGATATAGAAAATCCTAAGGAGGGTGGAGGGAAACTATTAGAACTAATAAATTAGTTCAGCAATGTTGTAGGATGTAAGATGTAAAAATCAATTGTATTTCCATACATTAGCAGTTGACATTCTGTAAATAAAATTAAGAAAACTATTTCCTTTACAGTAGCATCAGAAAGAATAAAATACTTAGAAATGAATTTGACCAAAGTTGTATAAGCCTTATATTCTGAAAACTATGAAACATTGTTGAAAGAAATTAAAGATGGCATAAGTAAATGGAAAGACATCCCATATTCATAGATCAGAAAACTTAATATTGTTAAGATGGCAATACTCTCCAAAATGATCTGTATGTTCAGTGCAATCCTATCAAAATCACAGCTGGCTTCTTTGCAGAAATTAATGATCTAATCCTAAAATTCAGATGGAAATTTATGGGACCCAGAATAGCAAAAACAATCTTGAAAAAGAAGGACAAATTTGGAGGACTCACATTTCCCAACTTCAAAACTTACTACTAAGCTACAGAAATCAAAACTGTGTTATGATGTAAGGACAGACAGACAGATCAATGGAATACAATTGAGAGTCCAGAATTAAACCCTTATATTTGTGGTCAATAGATTTTTGAAAAAAGTGCCATGACAATTCAATGGGCAAAGAATAGTCTTTTCAACAAATGGTGCTGGGACACCATGCTTGATATCCACATGAAAGTTGAACCCCTACCTCATAATATATACAAATATTAACTCAAAATGGATATAGACCTAAATGTAAGAGCTAAAACTATAAAGTTCTTAGAAGAAAGCATAGGAGTATATTATATATGAATCAAAAGCTCAAGCTAGAAGAGCAAAGTTGATAAATTACACTTCATCAAAATTAGAAACCGTTATGTTTCGAAGGACACCATAATGAAAATGAAATAACAGCCCACAGAATGGGAGAAAATATTTTCAAATCATATATCTGATAAAGGACTTGTATCTAGGATATATAAAGAACTCTTACAACTCATTGAGAAAGACAAATTTGAAAATGGGCAAAGGATTTGAATAGACATTTATCCAATGAGGATATAAAAATGGCCAATAAGCACATGAAAAGATTTTTAACATCATTAGTCAAAAGACAAATGTAAATCAAAAGTACAATGAGATACTATTTCACACCCATTGGATTAGCTAAGATAAAAATGGCAGACAAGAAGTGTTACTAGGATTTGGAGAAATTGGAACTCTCGTACATTGCTGGCGGGACTGTAAAGTTGTGCATCCACTTTAGAAAACAATTTGGCAGTTCCTATAATGTTAAACAAAGAGTTATCATATGACCCAGCAATTTCACTTCTAGGCATATACTCAAGAATTGAAAACACAAGTCAACACAAAAACTTGTACACAAATGTCCTTAGCAGCATTATGCATAATAGCCAAAAAGTAGAAACAACCCCAATGTTTACTAACTGATGAATAGATAAACAAAATGTGGTAGGTACTGTCCTTACAATGAATATTATTCAGCCATGAAAAGGAACCAAGTATTGGTACATGGATGAACCTTGAAAATATTATGCTGACTGAAAGAAATCAGATGCAAAAGGTCACATATTTATGATTCATATGATTCCATTTATATGAAATGACCAGAACAGGCAAATCTACAGAGACAGAAAATACATTAGTGATTGCCAGGAGTTGTGGGTGAGGAGGATGGAGAGTGACTGCTTTTGAATATGGGTTTTTTTTTTTGAAGTGCTGAAAATGTTCTAAAATTAGATAGTGGTGAACTATCTACTGAAAACCACTGAATTGTACACTTTAAAATGGTAATTTTTTTATGTTTTATTATTTATTTATTATTTATGTTTATTATTTATATTTCAAAATTTTAGGAAAATTAAGTTCACCTATTTCTTTTTACTTATTTAATGTGGCTATTAGAAAATTTTGAATTATATATGTAGCTTACATTATATTTCTATTGGACAGTGTTGTTCTAGACCTTACAAAGAAGACATGAAGATTTTTTTTTATTAGTTTTATTTATTTATTAGAATTTTTAAATTAATTAATTTATTTTTGGCTGCGTTGGGTCTTCGTTGCTGCAAGCGGGCTTTCTCTGGTTGTGGCAAGTGGGGGCTACACTTCCTTGTGGTGCGCGGGATTCTCATTGCAGTGGCTTCTCTTGCTGCGGAGCATGGGCTCTAGGTGCATGGTCTTCAGTAGTTGTGGCAGGTGGTCTCAGTAGTTGTGGCTCACGGGCTCTAGAGCACAGGCTCAGTAGTTGTGGCGCACAGGCCCAGTTGCTCTGCGGCACGTGGGATCGTCCCTGACCAGGGCCCGAACCCGTGTCCCCTGCATTGGCAGGCGGATTCTTAACCACTGCACCACCAGCGAAGTCCCAAGACATGAAGATTTTTAATCATCAATTTCCTGAACCTATCTGAGGAATTTCACAACCGCTTTGTAACGTAAATAGCAATAAAAACTTCTGTTAGGAGAAATAGTACCTGACATTTGCTTCATAAGCTGGAAAGTTTTTAATGCATACTATGTCATTTGATCTTCCCACCCTCCCAGGAGGAAGGCAGGAGGAGGTTATTATTCCCATTTTAAAGATGGAGACACTGAGTTTCCGGAATGGGAAAGTACTCATCTAGGGCTAGGGACCCTGGTAACGGACCCCTGGACCTCCGGCACTGGTCTTAGGTCTCTAGATCCTTTATACCATAAGCCCTCCATCTGCCCTCCACCCCTACCCCTAACCAAATCTGTCTGGCACAAGCAACGAGAATCGTTCCAGTCTCCCTCAGGGCCTCCAAGCTGATCTGAAACAGTTAAGAGAAGCATGTCAAGTCCAGCACCTCCATCCCTTGGGTCACAGCTGTCACCACAAAATGGCAGGTTGACATTTTGCAGCTCTGATCTCCTTGACCAAGCTACTGCAGATTTGGTCCCACCCCTGAGATTCTGATGTAATCAGGTCAGGGTTGGGGCCTGGGTGTTGGGACTTTTGAGGACTTCCCTGATGATTCTAGCGTGCAGCCAGGGTTTGGAGCCGCCACCCCAAGCCAATGGTCACAAACAATCAGCTTGTGGGCCAAATCCGCATCCCAGACATGTCGTGTTTGATTCCTATACGTGATGAATGCATGCTTAAATTGGATTAAGTTGTCAACATTTAAAAGCACGGAATTTTTACTTAAACCTGGATTTCTGGCTTCCCTTGAGGACTGAGGAACTCTGGAGACTGGGCCTGCATTCCTGTGTGGTGGCCAGTGGCTGGAGCTGAGCGGTGGCTGCCCCTTTACACAGGGCAGGAGTTCTCCAGTTCCCCACCGTCCATACCACTCCTTATTGTCTCACACTAGCCCACATCATTTATTTTCAATATCTATCCATCCCTATAGGGCTGCCCTGTAGGGCTTTCCCTTGCAGGCTGGGAAACTGAGGCCTATTGACAAATAAGTGTGGGAACTCAGACCTTCTTAGCTGTTGATTAAGCTATGCTAATTTCTCTTTCTTTCCCAGCCTGAGAACATACTGTGTGTCAATCAGACGGGACACCAAATTAAGATCATTGACTTCGGGCTGGCCAGAAGGTAAGGGAGTTTTATTTCGGTGGTTTGACAGAGCTCCTTGGAAACTCTTGGTGGCTCTCTTGGACATGGTTACCTACAACTCAGCCAATTTTTGAGTTTTGGGACTGATATGAGAAAGCTCTCTCACTGAGGCTGGCAGCCTTCACAAAGACTGCGTAGAGAGGCCTCGTTACTACTGCAGGGGGCGGCTTTGTGCGGCGGGCTCTGCTTCTTCTTAAAAGGCTGTGGGATTAACAGTATTTCAAACCACCTGTGTGAACAGAGAGGAGAGTGATAAAGGGGGTCACTGAATGGGGGTGCTGGGAAGCTCCTTCTATTCATCCCGCAGGCCTCCTGGGGCCAAGATGTACTGGGCTGTGTGATGCATTCATCACCAACCCTGCCCTCCAGAAAATGACTAGGTTAAATAGGATGGTGCCATGGGTAAGTGGTTCTGGGCACTCAGGACTGGGTTAGATCTTGGTAAAAGGGTGGTACAATGCAGTGCCCGCTGATATGGGCAATAATGAAGTTTAAATGAGATAATACATCAACAGTGGAGACCCATTCTATGAGGGTGATTAGGTTCTCAAGTTTCAGTGCATAAAGTGAATATCATATATAATTTTAAAAACATCTTAAAGTCCCTTAAAACGCCTAAAGCCTAGTGACGTATAGTTTTACTGTTGGATCCTCATGCTTGATGAACACCGTGTCTCTGCAGGGCTCTTGCCCATGGCGTGCACAACCAGTGGTGTGGCTGTAGCAGACCCTTGGCGTTGGGGAGGGCATCCACAGTCTGTGAAGATGGCAATAAATGTATGTTCATCCTCCAGGCTTCCTCCAGAATTCTATTTCCGCCAAGAATGACATTTCTCTGAGAATCACATACTTTCTAGATATGTCTTCACACCACGGCTTCAAATCTTGAAATGTTCTTACTCTAATGGTCATTTTCCACACAGAAGTTGTTTTTGTCGCTTTCGGAGCCTTGCAGCATCTACCACTCCATCCACAAGGGGGGAAAGGAGCACTTCATCCCCATGGTGGCAGAGCCGTGCCTGAGCTCAGCCTCTGGCGTCCAGCACTGGCCTCCCAGAGGGGGCGTTCAAACCCACAATGGTGGTCTTCCTAGGTCACTTCCCCACTGGTTGGAGAGGTAAATGTCACCTCTTTGCAGGTGTGAAAGGTACATTTTCAGGGCCCCACATGATGGATGGGAGGCTAAGTGTGGTACTGGAGCAACGGCAGAGGGAAGTTCTTACCACCGCGCTGTACCTTCAGGGTCCACACTACACAGCGTACTGCATTTCATGAACAGTCCCAAATCCCCCAACCCAGATGCCTAAAAATCACACCCAATCCATAATGTAAAAAAATTGCTTAATATTTTCCCAAATAATGTTGTATAAAATTGGGATGCATCCTGTACACTTGCACACCTTATGCACCAGGGCGTGTTTCTCAACCTATTTTTCATGTCTCCACCTGCCCCACAAAGCGCCTTTTTAACCATTTCTTTCCTAATCCCTCGGTCCCTTCCTCATGAAATGTAATGCCACAGGTGTATTGTGTATCTGTTTATGTACTGTGGCCCTTTGGAGAGCCGCAGACCGTTGTAATAGCTAAGATTTTTTTGCCCTTCCCCCAAGAACCACTGTTCCCTCACTGTGGGGCAATATATTCTTCATCCAGACCTCACACACTAGTGTATGCAGGACCCTACCAAATGCTGGGTGACCAACTGCCAAATGAGGATTTACAGTGACACACTGTGAATTCAGAGCAAGAAGTAACCACCTGAGGTTCCTGGAGTCTGGGACGTCTCTGAGCAGCCAGAAGAGACGAATGGACAGGGTTTTGTTACCTGCAGGCAGTAGTGTGCTGGTAAATGTTTAACAACCCGCTGCGGCTGGGGCATGAGAGGAGGTGGGGTTGATTTGTAACCCTTGCTAACTTTGGCTGATTTCAAGCTACCAACATGACGTCACTGAGTGCAGAGTTGGGAGGAGACGTGCACCATTGGCTCTCATGCACCAGTGAGAACCGGCTCCAGCACGACTCTGCGTGGAGGGGGACAGGAGGGATAGTGTCAGTTAGGGACCAAGAATAGGATGCACACTGCGCATGAGCAGGCTGGCCTGGGGAAGGCAGGAGCTGTGGATGGGACTGGGGAAGGAAGACACAGTAGAAGGTGAGGGCACTAATGGGGCATCCTGAGTAGGGAGGCTCAGATGTTGGAATGGTATCCAATAGGCCATTGAGTCTCAGATGGTGGGAGGTGAAAAGGGTTGTAGGCCAATTTACCGAAAATCGATTAGTCAAAATCTATTCCCAATACACACTACTATATACAAAATAGATAACCAACAAGGGCCAACTGTATAGCACAGGGAACTATAGTCAATATTTTGTAATAACCTATAATGGAAAAGAATCTAAAAAGGAATATATATATATATATATATATATATAAAACTGAACCACTTTGCTTTACACCTGAAACAAGCACAACATTGTAAATCTATATTTCAATAAAAATTTTAAAAAATCGATTCCAAACTGTCAGTCAAATTTGTTAATCTGGTTAAGGGCATTAATGGCAGTAATTTTGCCCGTGGGAACAGAGGTAGAGGGCGAGTTCAAGAAAATATACACAGGGAGCCATATTTTTAATTTTAAATTTTTAATGTTTTGGCCGCACGGCATGTGGGATCTTAGTTCCCTGACCAGGTATCGAACCTGCACCCTCTGCATTGGGAGCACGGAGTCTTACCTACAGGACCACCAGGGAACTCCCAGGGAGCCGTATTTAAGAGAAAGCCACCCATGAAAAACTGCTGGGCACTGGAGAAGTGCAGGTGTCAGAAAACGTGGTACTCAGGAAATTGCACTTAGTGGAACTGGGCTGACAGGTTCACAGGTTCTGGCTGTGAGATGAAAGGAAAACATCAAAAGCATCCTCAATAGGCTGGCAAACTGGTCATTCAGCAAAAAGATTCTTTGGCAAATTGGTTTTTGACAAATTGGCCTGCTTCCTGGGAAGTGTGTCCTTCTAAAAGGAGGGATCTGTGGGGGGAATGTGCAGTTTGAGAGAGCATGCTTTATGCTCCGGAATAGTTAAATGTTTGTAAAGAGGGGGGAAATGACAAATTTTCCACATAACACGAACTATAGAAAGTACAGTTGTATTTCTGGGTGGGACTATGAGAAGGCGCTGAGATTCTGAGTGCAGGTATGACCCCCAGTAGAGTAGGGCCATACAAATCTTCAGAGACTCTGACATCTAGCAAGAGGGACCAGTTTTGTTTTTTGTTTTTTTTTTTTGCGGTACACGGGCCTCTCACTGCTGCGGCGTCTCCCATCGTGGAGCACAGGCTCCAGACGCGCAGGCTCAGCGGCCATGGCTCACGGGCCGAGCCGCTCCGCGGCACGTGGGATCTTCCCAGACCGGGGCACGAACCCGCGACCCCTGCATCAGCAGGCGGACTCCCAACCACTGCACCACCAGGGTAGCCCAAGAGGGGCCAGTTTTACACCAGGCTGGGTGGTGAGAGTCATCAGTGGGTCTAAGTAGGGACATGTCAAGGGGTCGAGAATGGAGACAGAATGGGAAGTATCTTGTTTAAATATCTTGGTCTCCAGAATGTTGGGTGCAGGGATGAGCCTCCTGACTCCCAGTCCAGTGCTCAGATTGGAATCTAAGCCCATTTCATCAGATCCTTTGGCAGGGCAAGGAGTTGCCGATCTCAAACCTTATGAGGCCGCAACCTCATATGTGACCTTATGATCACAGAGGGCCTCGCGCTGGGAATCTGGAGAGGGGCGTCTTAGTGGATATTTTGACACAGCTTTGGGGTGGATGGGTCAGTTAACTATTGGTACAGCGCTGTTGAATAACAAATCACCCCCAAATGCAGTGACTTAAAACACCAGTTGTTTATCTTCCTCCACACATTTTCGAGTCAGCTGGGGAATTAGTATGCTGGACCCAACTTATACTAGCTCATGATAAGGAATCTTGCAAGCCAGTTGTCAAACATGGCCATTATTAAAAATTAAATTGTATAAGCTTACAATTAAAGAAATTATTTTAAAACAAAGATGTTACATTTTAAAAAGTTAACACTTCCTAATTATTTCACTACATTTCACAGTTATTTATGTTCATGAGTTTATTTACGCCGATTGTTATCTATATGGTGGAAAGACTATAGAATAGTGTGCTATTGCCGATCTCTTCCCAACTCTTCATTCAGTGACATGGTGATGGTACTTTTAAATCAGACACGGTGAAATCAGTATTTACACGATTGGCAAATGCTACAAATCAAAACTTAAAAGAAAATCAGATAGCTGGTTATTAAACTTTTACCTACAGACCACTGGTTGGGAGTCACTGATCTAGGCTGAATTGAACTGGGCTTGGATGCAGGTCAGTGAGGACAGGTCTGTTCCAGGCGTGTCTCATTCTCTTCTCATGGTGATGGCCGAGGAGCAAGAGGGCACGCTCCTACAGCCTAGCTTGGAATTGGCCCACCGTCATGTCCACCCACATTCCACTGGCCAAAGCGGCTCATGTGACCAAGCTCACCATCAATGGGATGGGGCAATATATGCCATCTCTAGTGGAAGGAACTACAAAGTCACATGATACAGGATGTGGCTGTGGGGCAGATGAAGCAGTGGAAACAGGAGTGCATCCTGGGAAAGGGACATCCAGGGGCTGAGAGCCTGGACCTTCCCTCCTCAAGGGGAAGCCTGTTCCTCTCAGTTTGGCTCCTTGGCCCTGAGGCTCCAGTCAGGTGCCAGTGCAGGGGAGGAACAGACTGCCAGAGGAAGGCTCTAACTCTCCTCCCCTCCCTGGCTTCCAGCCACAACTCAGCCACCAAGGTGATCTTTGTTGCTCTTTCACTGGATTAGTATGGTCTGTGTTGGCTCAGGGTCTGCATTTGCCTGACTCTCAGCAAATGTGGAAAAGAAGAGACTGTATTTTGAAAACGCACATCCCTGATTTAAGG